TATAATGGAGTCAGCAGGCAAACAGAAAATTCTCTCATGACTTCTCTCTCCTGGCTCTGGCTTTTCACCTCTTGTTGCTGGGGAAACCACAGTCCCAAATCCCCTTCCCAGGCTCAGTGGTGCTGCCAGGGCACTGCAGGCAAGTGGAATCCTAGAGATGCACCATGGGAGAGGCAGGATTAGCTACCAACAAAGCAGGGCTGGACACGGGCAAGGTCAAAAAGGGCACGACAGCAGGAGGTGCTGTGGCTTTACAGCCCTTTCCCAGGCTGAAATGATCTGACAAATGCTGACTGTAGTAAAGTGCTGATGGTGATGCTCAGTTGAGAGCACAAAGGTTAGAAATCGTTCCAGGTGCTGGCTCAGAGAGGCTGCCAAGAAGGCGAGTTCACAGCACTGGCTGTCAGGCGCCATCAGGCCGGCTCAGGGCTCTCTGTCTCCATCACTGGAAGGTGGTAAGTGGGTGGGGACTTTGCATGGAACTACTGTAGCTTTTCAGATTGCTCATCCTCCTAAGCTCATACTGGTTTGCAGCAGAACAATGGGAGTAAAGAACTGCTGAGGCAGCCACCCACTTGATGGAGGGTGGGACCGTAGTGCAAATGTCAGCTTCAGTGTTCTTCCTTGTCCTAAAATTTTATTTCTGCTTGTAAGCCCGTGCAAATGTCTTCTGATGGTCTGTGCTAATGGGACATTTAAGCATCATGTTGGGATCTGCCTGCTCTGCCTGGTGGCCATGGTCAGTGGCTGCCAGGGGTCCTTGCTGGATGGCCTGTAGAGGCTGGATGGAGATCAGCAGCACCACCATCACCAGCAGCAGGTCCCTAATGTGTCCACTTCTGTGGTGCAGAGGGGACTTGAAGCACAGTGTTACTGCCAGCAAGAGACACACCACAGTGCATCCTCCTGAGCAAGCACACCCGAGAACTTCAGAAGCAGAATCCTGGGCTCTCTGCAGCGAGCGCACAAAATATTCTGACAGTACAGCAGGACTGACATTTCTCTTGCCCACTGAGTAAGCAAGTGATTCAATCTGGGATGCTGTTGGCTCACACCAGGAAAAAGTCAGTCCTATGTGTCTTAGGCTTGTTTGATGCTGCCCATGTGCAATCTGAGCAGTATAACTGTGCCTTGAACCGGCTCAAACCCACCTCACTGTGTAAAACAGAAGTGCTCTGGTATGGCCCATAAGGTTAACTGAGACTCAGAGCTATTCTAATTACACGTCCATTATCTCAGTATTAGCTTTAGCAAAGGTAAAGGAAAAAAGGTATCTGCTTTCTCATCGCCTTTCCCTAAACCCAGATGTTGTAACAAAAGAAAAAATAAGTATATATTTTGCAATATTGAAAACTGAGAAGGTTAAAATAAGTCTGGGGGCTTTTTTGGCTTGGTTTGCAGCATGAGTCACACCTCGGCTTTTATGAGACATCTGCATGCCACACTGGATGTACAGACATTTGAATTCAGTGACTGTTCTATTTTTCCAGGGACCACTGGCTCCTAGTGCCGATTCAGACGTCACAATTCACTTCTCATATCTCAGTATGATCTTTTGTAGGCAGCAATCCTTCCTCATCACACGTTGTACCATCACAAGCCTCGTGGGACCTTTTATTTAGCCAGGAAAGTGAACTGAAGGTCTAAAAAGGCTCCCCTGCCCCTCTCCAGTTCTAACAGAAGAGACGACCCTGGTACCAAGCATGGGGTAGAAACATTTCTGCTCCCAGCATGTTCCTGTCTGGGCTGTACCCTCATTGCCTTCCAGCCATCATTGGATGTTTGTAATTCTGGGGCCTGAAGAGCAGACCCTGAGACAACATTGACCTCTAGATGAATTTTCCAACCTAATATTATATTCAGCCTAGTATTGTATTTAGCCATATATCTGCTTATTAACCAAGATGCTGTATAATCCTTAGTAATGCTTTAAAAGTGCGCATTTATGCTTGTTAGCACAGCATATTATTAGTAATTAGTAAGGCTTCTATGTGTTATAAATGTGCCTTTCTTTTCAGCCAAGCCATGAGAGCAGTAGGCCTCACATGGTCACAGCTGGTTCATATTTGAGATATAAATGTAGCCATAGTTCTGTATTTAGAGACTAGTCAAGGCCATGGGGGTATCTGACAGTAGTTAGTCTGAACTGATTCCCTGATTTTGCCCTGAGACCTAGCCAGGCTTCATGGGAAAACCAACAAAAGAAGAAAGCCACATTGTTTTCCGCACCAATTGAGTGATGTAAGCTGGTTTGTTTAATGCTGCTTACACTGGACCCTCTGGACCCTCTCACAGCAAAGATGGAGGCTTCACCCTACTAGTGGATGCTCTGCATAGGATTTCCCAGTTACTGGGAAGAGGTTCTCCAATCCTTTGACGTCTTCGGGGCCTCCTCGGCTGCAGTGCTATCTGGATGATGGTAAGTGTTACAGGGTAACTGGTATTTGCACAGGATTATGCCTTGCAATGTACCTTCCTCTGGGTAAGTTTTTGCTTTGTCACCACAGCGACTGTAGTTTTGCAAGTTAAATTCAAGTACGTATGTGTTTTAACAGTGTTTAGGTAGTATTTTGAATCAGGAAAGTGGGTCTCTACAAGGTCAAGGGGTTTTTTTATGGGAATGCTTTTTTTTTTTTTTCTCTCTAGCAACATGACCAGCAAAACACTTTGATTTAACTAGCTGAGTGGATAAACTTCCTGCATGAGCTTCTGCTCACCCCTCTTCCCCTTTGTCAGTATTTTCCATTTGTTTTCACTGTTTTGGTTTAGGTCAGACACAAAGATAACTCCAGGGCACTTAGCTGATTTAACACGTCACAGGCACTTGTCACACTGCCCATACTACCTCACATATTTGTTCTCTCACAGACCTTTCTGATGTCCCAGAGGTTATAAGAAACCCATGCAGCTTGGTGTGAGGGCTTTGGTCCCACTCACCAGTGGCGCTCCACAGGAAATCTCTTGCTACTGCCCTTGGGTGTGAGGTTTCCCTTCTGTTTCTCTTCACAGAATCAGAGTTTTCCATAAGAATGCATACAGTATGTACAGCACCGCACAGTTACCAGTTCAGTAAGTAAGGAGAATGTTTGGTTTCCTCCCAAGTACATGAATGTTGCTATTTTGCAGAGGCACGGTGAGGTACAAGGAAAGCTGGACAGCACTGAACAGTGACCCTGCTGGAAAACTGCAAAGTCAGCTCAGTTATTCTCCATTTCAATATGTTGTCTAATCTACACTCTTGGAAAAGCTTTCTGTCATTCTTAGAAATCTCAGTTAAAAAAAAAAAAAAGGGACCATGTACTCCTAAACCACACGGGTTACACAAACTTTTAAAATGTAACATATCCCCCTTTTCTAAATGGATTTTAAAAATAACCTACTCTTTACTGCAGCCTGAATTAGGTTTGTTTCACATGCTTTGCTTTTGCAACACCTCTGCATCACAGGAGCAGGCAACACCAGAGCCTTAAATCATCGGCCAGTGTTGCCAGGCCCCTGTCAGCTTGTGGCAATGAAGAGCAGGTCATTAGGGCCAACCACCCTCATGGTAAATAGTGCTCTTAACATGCATTAAGGCAAGTCAATAAAAAGGGGAAATTATTTTGTGCTTTTCAGAGCTTTAACTACTTGTACTCCCTCACAGGGATTTGAGTCTATAAATATTTTTTACACATCTTGTTCTTTTTTTACAATCCCTGACAGTGCTGGGCAATATGCTTCCCTTTTCCCTCAGCCAAATAGAATAGGGAAACTAGTAAAGCAGCCTGCCCCATCCTCCCCCTCCAACAAGAGTTCATCTTCTGGACTTTGAGATTTAGCACCCTTTGCCGAACAAATGGGTTGGGTGTGGAAAACTACGCGTTGAGTGAAGGAGAACTTTGCATTTTTAGCTGTTTACAAAACTGTTGCTTCATGGCCAAGTGAAAACTTCCCATCACCCAAGAAGCCTGACAGCTGCGTGGTGGGTGCCCAGGTGGGAATTGGAGCTGGTTTTGGTAAAACCCACAGTACCACCAGTAACTGTGCAGTATAACCAGCTCCCACTGCTGCACATCGCCTTCTCTGTGCTACAAATGAGAGGAGGCATCTGCTTTCTCTGTGTTTATTGTGTTACACTGAAGCAAACCAGCATGTGGTTATTTGCAGTTATTAGCTGATTATTTCACCACCTCTAAGGAATACGAAGAAAAGCAATTAAATAATTCGGGGCTCTGTTACCACTGAAGGGAGGCTGAGGCTGTGAGACTGGGCAGGAGGAGTCCCATGCTGGGCTGAGCCCACCATGCCACCCACTCGGCGAGGCAGCAGCCCCCCTCAGCTGGGTACTCGGAGTAGCACAGGAGCCAGTGAGCTCGGTGCTATTGCCCTCACCAAGGAACACAGCCAGAGTAATTTGCTGGGAGTAACACCATGGAATCCACGCCCTGGAATGTTTATGCTTGCCCAGAGAGACTCAGTGGTGACCACATTCAGTGTTGGAATCCCTTGTGCTGAAAACTGCTCTGAGAAACCAAGACTGGAAAACTGCTGGCTCATGCAAGAAGGGGCTTTCCCCATGCCTTTCCTGGTTGTTAGTCTTTCCTGTACACCACTCCCCCTTGGTTTAACTTCAAACACAAAACAACACTCTTAAATAATGACCTCTACCAAGTTCCTGGAGATGCTTCAAAATGGCCTCTTTGTTACTCATGAGGATGGAGAGGTGGTAGATGAGTTAAAGAGCTGCTGCGCTGCTGGAAGGAGCAAGTCTTTCTTTTAGGAATAGCAAGCTTAAAGTCATCATCTTAAAATGTAATCTAAAGGGACAGTGGCCAGAGGAACCCACCTGGAGCACTGAAACTGCAAAACACATTAGGATTGGTTGACTTTCATGTATCTGTGGGTTTTGTTTAGCTGTAGAAACTCATTTTGCTAAGGAAATAATTGACATTGATATCTACATTGTATAAGCCTTTTTTCTTGCCTTTTTTTTTTTTTTTTTAATATATATTTACATTTTCATTCTTCCAGCTGGGGCTGGGAGCCCAAAAGCAACAAATCAGTGCTGTCAAGATGTTTGAAGAGCACGGAGGGTGCACATCCTCACCAACCCTCCTCTTTGTAGACATTATTCAGGTGAGTGCAGATTTCATTGGTCACCTTCTCAAAGGAAGCTTTGCAGTCTCCACCAAATTTCTCTTCCATCAATTGTAAGATAATGTCACAGATAATCTAAACAAGGACAAGGGAAGAAAAAAACAGTGTGAACTTTCCTCCACATTAGAGGCATAAGAGCAAAACATGTATCTTTAGTTGGGACTCTCGGAAGGCAGAAAGGGGTCCAAGAGCTATTTGCAGCATCTTGCTTGCAGGGCTTGTAACAGGGCATTGAAATTATGGTGCATTATAGAATTCACAAAAAACGGCAGTCACTGCTGCTGGTTTTTTTTAGCTGTCTTGTGTATCTAGTTATTGTTGACTGCACCTATCACTTAAAGATGGCTGTACAGGACAGATTCACCTGGTCCATCCATTGCAATCGTTCTCCTATCAGTGGACTGTCCTAAATGCTTAGAGGCCACAAGAAGCCCCATGTTGGACACTTATGGAATACATGGCTTGAGGGGCTAAGTTTCTTCCTGATCTTTCCTGCCTGTTAACTATCTAGCCCTCTGTAGCAATGAAGACTCTTTTGTCCCTATAGCCACTAGGTAGGTGGTATACTAAGAAATGCCTGTTTTCCTCAGTTCTACTCCTCAAAGGGGAAAACATCCTCCCCTCACAATTACACCCCTTGGGAAGAGGGCTACTTGCTCACCCTAAAGTTTTTGGGGTCAATCTTCAGCTGGGTGGCATGTTTCTTGCCGAGTGGGTTCACTATCCCAAGAAAAGCCTCGGAGTTGTCCAGGTGTTGCACCATGTCATTGATGGCAGTGAAAACCTTCTTGCCGTGGCCCCTGACTTGATCTGACTGTTTCATCTCTTCAGCAGAGTCCATGCCTTTGAAATGTGTGAAGTAGGACTTGGTGTCTGGGTGCTCAGTAAACATCCTGTTGAGAAATGAGAGACATCCTAACTGGTGAACCCAGGCATCAATGCAGATATGGCTAAATGTTCCAGGCCTCATCTTATGCATTTATTGCCCTTTTTCCTTCTCTTTATTAGGACGGGCACCTCTGTCCCCTCCATTTCTTGTTTCTGCTTTGCCTTTTGCATCTGTCCACAGCACCCCATGCCCATGGCAGCCTGTCCCTTGCTTCGCCTTTCCTTCAGTGTTAACTTTGTGTTAGATTACTTGGACAGAGAAGTGGGAGCACGTTCACATGAGGTAAGTGTGACAGCATAATATTCCCAAAGATGTTCTGGACAGCAGATATGACCGCTGTGATTCTGATGGGTGTTTTCATGGAGAAAAACTACTATTAGTTTTGTTTATTAACCCCTTCCTAGAGTCCATCCCAAAGCTTTCTTCCTGCCTGCAATGGATTGCTGTTTGACTATGGGTTTGACTATGATTTGACTACTGCTCATTTCATTTATTCAAAAGTAACACAATTCAATATGTTTAAAATTGCCTTTAATCAATTATAGCCATCTTCATCAAGCTCTTAAAAAAACAGTTTACTCCATTGAGTAAACCAATTGTCCCCCTGAAATATCAATAGCAAATTCCAGATTGCATTTCACAGAGTCACGGAGTGATTGGGCTTGAAGGAACCTCTGGAGGTCATTTAGTTCAACCCCACTGGTCAAACCAGTTGCCCAGATAGCTTTTGAGTACCTCCATGGGTGGAGACTCTACAACCTCTCCGGGCAACCTGCACCAGTGCTCAGCTGCCCTCACAGTAAAAAAGTGTTTCCTGACGTTCAGAGGGAACCTCCTGTGTTTCAGTTTGTGCCCATTGACTCTGGTCCTGTTTCTTGGCACCACTGAGAAGAGGCAGGTTCTGCCTGCCTTGTAGTCTTCCTTCAGGTTTTTATATACATATTGATAATCTCCCCCTGAGCCTTCTCTTCTCCAGGCTGAACAGTCACAACTCTCTCGGCCTTTCCTCATACGAGAGATACTCCAAAGCCCTAATCATCTTCCCGGCCCTTCACTTGACCCTTTCCAGTATGGCCATGTCTCTCTTCAACTGGGGAGCCTTGAACTTCTCTATAGGCAGGTCTGGGGCTGTAGGACTCTCAAGCAAAACCTTCTGAAGTAAATTACCCCAGGGAGCCAAGCTACTGGATGCTACTTGCCTTTTATGGCTGCACTCCTGACCCTAACTGGCCTTCAGGTTGTGAAGATTGCAGAAGGAAAGAGCAGTGAGTAACACTCTTTGAGGGTAATCCAGGCATAAGATGTGATATACAAGAAAGCCAGAGGGAGGGGTAGAGGTCTGATAACCAGAAATAGTATTTGCACTGATCAGTGCTCATGGAGGTGAATAAAAGTCCCAGATGAGTGAGGGATATGTGAAAGGGAAACAGTATGAAAACAGAGAGGAAAGCCCATAAGAAAGTGTGGGGTGATGGATAGAGTTAAACCTATACATCAATCGGAAATAAAAAGTATTTATGGTTAGAGCCACTCAAACTCCACCCAAAACATAAGTACAAAAGTAAGCTGGGGATAGGGGGAAAGTGGGAGAAGACCTCCATTGAAACTGCTGGGATCAGTCGACTGGCGGAGTCCATCTTCTCCCACCCCAGAGGGACGCCTTGGGTGGGAAATATACTCTGTGTGCGTTAAATGCTGCTTTTAGTACTAGAGCTTTTGCTTATGCTTACCCCATAGCATATTAGTTAGATTGCTTTGTATGAGAGCTTGTGCTTGTTTAATATATGTATCAGCAGGTTGCTTTAAGACATATTTTTGCAGTAGGCACTATCACCAACAACCTTCAAACCTTATTAATCTGTTACAAATTGTATTAATAAAAAGTGTTACTTGTAAACTGTTAAAGCGAGTCCTTGCAGGTGCCACCAGTGGATAACACCTTGGCAGGAGCTGCTGAGGGGTCTGGGCTCTGTTGAGTTCCCCCTAACAAGGGAGGATGGAATCCTCCAATCTTGTGAATCTGTTGGTGAAGGGTCTCATTCCAAGATGCTGACTGACTGTCGGGCACCAGGGTCTCAACTCTCCTGGGGATACCAACAGACAAAAATCTAAACTCCCACCTTTCACGTGACAGAATGGTGCAAAAAAAAATGGAATAGATGGACTGGACTGGAAAGGCTGAAGGAGAATGAGAAGTGAAATACTTAGAAGTCAACAAAAATCGTTAAAGGAGTTTAGAGGTAAAGAGGAAGAGGGAAATAAGGTCCACGTTTTATTCCCATTCTCTGTCATACCACACTTTCTTTTCTTTACTTTAAATGGGTAAAGAAATTGTTCTTTTTTCTTTTTCTTTCCCCACCTCCTTCCTCCTTTCCTTTTATTTTTCCTTGTGTGGATTGCTCCTCTTCCCTTTTTCCTCCCTGAGATGGGATAAACCACAGCAGATCAAAACATTCCCAGCAAGGGCTGCATGAAAAACATCAAGATGTGCTCCTAGGCCTTAACTTCATCCTTCTTGGTGTTCCTCCTTCAACCTGCTGGCGTAGCAATTGGATGGGCTCCTTCCTTACCTGACCAGCACAGTTGTCCCGTTGTCCTCAGCATCCACATACATCTTCTCCCAGGCACCCCGGGCACTTTGCACCTCTGCTTCAGAGAATGACATGGTGGAGGAGATGCTGGCAACGAAGGGTGCAGCAGGAGGGAGAAGGACAGGGAGGTCCTGGCAGGGTCTTTCTGCTCCAGGTCTCTCTTCAAGGCTCTCTAAATACTGCCCTGGGGATTTAAGATATCTTGAAGGGACTCTTTGTCTCCGTTCCCCTCAGTCACATTTCTGCAGGCTTTAGGGCTACCTAATCGCTTTTAATCAGGAAAGAAACTAACCACATGAGGAGGGAGGACAAGCCCTCTCACCGTGGGTCAAGTGCCACAGCAAAGGTCTCACTGTCTGAGAAGAGAAAGGGGAAAAAGGGCAGTTTTCAGACGTGAAGAAAAAGATCAATTCTCCTCCCCTCTCACCCTTGCCAAAGCCAGTGCTTGGCTCCTGTTCCCTGAGGGATATCGTTGCCCAAGCACTAATTTTCCTGGTTTTCTCCCAAGAGCGCTGCTGTGCTGTGGGCACTGTGGTGTCCTTATGTCCCCTCTTCCCAGCACTCTTTTGTCCTTCAGTACAAAGTTCCCGTTTCCAGGTCCAGCAACTGTCTCCAGTCCTGTTTCCCGTCGTGGTCACTGCTTCCCCCACAGCCCTCTGATTTTGCGGGGATTCACTCCGCAGCTGCTCCTGGCTTTGGTCTCGTGTGGGTGGGAGCTCCAAATGACAGCATTGCAAGGACAGTGATGGCAGCATGACACAGCATCCATGGCCACAGTGCCCTAAAAAGCCGCCTCATTATAACACAGGAGATAAATGGTTCGGCACAGCCAAGCCAGGAACACACTGCCCTAATCCTCTTGGCTTGCAGCTGGGATCTCTGTCTTATCTCTAAGGCCGGCCTGCCTGGCAGAGAGATAAGGGACAGGAGAAGGGCCAGCATGGAGCTGCAAATGGGATCCATGAGCCTCTTATCATCATGGTCACTTGGATCTGGAGGCAAAAAAATTTTTTGGATTATCCATGCCTGGGCTTAACCTCTGGTAGGAATGTTCTGGTTAAGTCCAGGGCACACACACAGAATAAGGGCTAAGGGGCATGAGAAACTGCTGCTGGATGCCGAGCACAGACAAAACCTCATATTGTTTGGGCTGGGTTAGAGGAGGGAAGAAACAGATGTGAGGGGGAAATATGCAGCACGGCAAGCAAAACCAGCCTGAAACCCCAGGGCAGACTGATATCCTGGGGCAGAAGGAAATTGCTGGCTCCAAACACAGAGTTTGACTTGCTGAGGTTGTATCCCACCATTGCTGGGGGATGCCCCAAATGAATTCACTGAAACTTGCCCCTG